AAAATATTGGATAAGGTAAATATTTAGTAAAGATGAGGTATCTAGAGATTTATATGTTGTTTTAAGTATTTAGCCATAGAGATTTGTTTCCCTTTGGAAAAAATTTCATACTTTTTTAAAAATGATTTTATTTTTGGAGAGAGGAGATGGGAAGGAGAGAAGCATCACTGTCCAAGAAAAGCATTGATCAGTTGCCTCTTGCACACCCCCATCCAAGGACTTGGCTTGCAACGCAGGCATGTGCCCTGACTGGGAATTGAACTGGTGACCTTTTGATTTGTGGGATGACCCACAATCCACTGAGCCACACCAGTCAGGGGAAAAAAAATTAATACTTTTAATGGACAAAGTCTTTTATGAAATTTTTCTTCTAAATGTAGAGGAAATATGAAGTATTAATTGTAAAGAAAGATCGGTGAATTTCTCACTTTTTCTTTTCAAAAAGTGAGTTTTCTTAAATTGAGATGCACTAATAGTTGGACTGTCCCACTCTGTCAGATATAAACTTGATGCCATTCCTGTGGGTTGATGGTGATGGTTGGTATGTTTTTCCTTGGTGACAGTGTAATTAAAAAATATAGTACCTCAGGTTTTACTCTACTCTCATTTAACTGCTGATCCTGCTTTCTCTGTACCAAGTGCTATTTTCATTGCTTTATACTGAATATATATGTGTTCCATAGCTTAGAACTTAATGTGTATAAGTGCTATAGAAATTGTGTATATGTAAGGCGATGATTTGACATGTGTATACACTGTATGTTGTAAAATGATTACTACAAAAGATTAGTCATCCATCATCTCACATAATTCCTTTGCTGTGGTGAGAACACTTAATATCTGTTCTCTTAGCAACTTTCAAGTATACAGTATAGTATTGTTTGTAATGGTCATCATGCTGTACATTTGATCCCCAGAATTTATTCATTTTAAAACTGGAAGTTTTTGTCTTTTGACCAGTGTCTCCCCATTTTCCCTGTCCCCAGCACCAGGCCACTACCAGTCTACTCTCTGTGTCCATGAGTTCAGATTTTTTAGATTCCACATAAGAGTGAGATCTTAAAATAGTTGTGTTTCTCTGACTTAATTCACTTAGCGTGATGTGGTCAAGGTCCATCCATGTTATTCCAAATGGCAGGATTTCCCTTTTTTTGGCTGAATAATATTTCATTGTATTATATTTGCCATGTTTTCTTTATTCATTTATTCCTTGTAAATGAGGCATAGTTGTTTCCATGTCTTAGTTATTGTAAATAATGCTGAAGATGAGGGTGTAAATATTTTTTTAATTGAATTGATTGGGGTGACATTGGTTAATAAAATTACGGGTTTCAAGGGCACAGTTCTACAATACATTGTCTGTATATTGTATTGTGCATTTACCACCCCAAATCAAGTCTCCTTCCTTCACCATTTATCTCCCCTTTACCATCTTCTCCCTCCCCCTCCCCCTCCATCCCTCTGGCAATCACAAAACTGTTGTCTGTGTCCATTAGTCTTATTTTCTTTGCTTACTCTCTTCACCCTTCTCAACCAGCCTGCAGCCCGCTCCTCTCTGACAGCTGTCCGTCTGTTCCCTGTACCCATGGGTCTGTCTGCTGCAATCAACATGGGGGTGCAAATGTTTATTTGAGATAGCGATTTCATTTCTTATAGATATATACCCACAAGTAGGGTACCTAGATCAATTGGTAGCCCTGTTAATATTTTAAGGAACCTATGTACTGTTTTCTATTAGTGGCTGTACCATTTTACAGGGTTCCCTTTTCTCCACATTTTACCAAACTTTTCTTTTCTGATAATAGACATCCTAGTAGGTATGAGGTGATACGTCATTGTGGTTTTGATTTGCATTTCCCTCATGAATAGTGATGTTGAACACCATTTCATGTAAATGTTGGGCATTCATTTAGGTTCTTTGTCCAGTTCTTAAACATACTATTAATTTTTTTTGTTACTGATTTGTATGGTCCTTATGTATTTTGGGTATTACCCCTTATCAGATGATTTTCAAATATTTTGTCCTGTTCTGTAGTTTGCCTTTACATTTTGTTGATGGCTCCCTTTGCTGTGCAGGAGCTTTTTAATTTGATGTAGTCCCACTTGTTTATTTTTGCTTTTGATACCTTTGCTTTTGGCGTCAAATCCAAAAAATGATTTCAGAACTGTTGTCAAGGAGCTTACCTCCTATATTTTCTTTTAAGAATTTTATGGTTTTAGGTCTTGTATTCAAGTCTTTAATCCATGTTGAGTTGATTTTTGTGTATGATGTAAGACAGTGATCCAATTTCATTCTTCGCATGTGGCTGTCTAGTTTTCTCAGCACCGTTTATTGAAGAGACTATTCTTTATTTCTTGGCTCCTTTGTCTTAAATTAATTAACCATATGTACATGGGTTTATTTCTGGGCTCTATTCTGTCCCATTGATCCGTGTGTCTATTTTTATGCAAATACCATACTCTTGATTACTATAACTTTGTAATACAGTTTAGTTATAGAATCCCTTGGGTGGTTTTTGCTCACCGTCAATAAGAACTGTGGTGCTCAGTGCCAGTTTGGTAAAAAAGGAAAGGACCATTTATTCCAAAGTTATACAGGGTTAGGATAATGGCAGAATTCTCCCATTAAATTTCACTTCCTTTAGAAACAAAGAAACACCCACAAACACCCAGTCCTGCCCCCCTTTCCAAAGCAGACCATTTAGAGGTCCTGTCTCTCAGGAAAAGAAATAGAAGTCTGTAGCTTAGCTGGGCAGGTTCCCATCTGTGTTCCATCTTCCTCCAGTCGACTGTGCTTGCCAGGCTCCTGTTTATAATCCCAAACTGCATCCTCATGGTGTGCTGGGGAATCTTTCTGCATCCTTTCAAACCCCGTGGCCAACACCCCATACTACTGCTACATAGTCAAGGGGCTTTTCCTTCCTCAGCCTCATGGTCAAGAGTGAGCACGGCTGCTACATCCTGCTTTTCTGCTTCTTTCTAATCTGTGTGGTCAAGACAGCCCCCTTTCTGCTCCCAAACCACATGATTAAACCCCAGTATGGCTGCTGCACCTGGGTTTAAAGCCCGGTGCAGATTTCTCTCCGTAACCTCATTTCGGAGTCCTCCCACACTGGATTACATCTGCCAGCACTCTGGTTTCTTCTGCATTTCTTGGCTGCCATTGTTAGTCCAGGCAAGCTTGACCCTGTGAAGTAGGAGCAGCACCCAAGCTGCTCTCATTGGGGCAGCCATCACGTCTGGCTATAGTGCTATATCACATCATGGGTTAGGGTCACGCCCATCTCCCTGGCTCCTAGCAGGCACAGCTTTTAACATACTAAAACACGGGCAAGTTTTTTAGATGTGCACAGTAACTCACAGTGGCCCTGCTCTACTTCTCCTGTCCTCCATTTTCCAAGCAATAGCTGTGGGGATTTTCTCCATTTTGGGGGACCTCCAGCTCAGCACCCCATTAAAGTTTGAAATCAGGAAGTACTGAGTTGGCCAAAAACATTGTGGGGTTTTTTTACCCTGTAAGGTGGCTCTAGTAGCACTTAGTTGTCTGTAACTTCATTTGAAACAATTTTGTTAGATTCTGGTGTAACAGCTGTCATATCAGCATACATTTAAAAAAATATCAAAATTGGTGAATTTTTGTGTAGCCATTTTAGTACTGAAGATGGAAGAAAGTAAGCAACATTTTTGGCATATTATGTTTTATTACTTCAAGAAAGGTAAAGACAACTGAACTGCCAAAAAAGATTTGTGCAGTGTAAGAAGGTGCTGTGACTCATCGAACATCTCAAAAATGGTTTGTGAAGTTTTGTGCTAAAGATGTCTCCTTGGGCGATCGATGCTCCATGGTTGAATAGACCAGTTTAGTTGAGTGCAATCAAATTGAGACATTAATTGAGAACAACCAATATTATACCACACAGAAGATAGCCAACATACTTAAAATGTCTAAATCAATAAAGTTATTGGTGAAAATGAAAAATGTGTCTTATTTTATGGAAAAAACATACAGACCTTTTGGCCAACCCAGTATGATGCCTCCAGCCTTGTTGTTGTTTTTTTAAAGATGGTTTTGGTTATTTGGGTGTCTTTTTGTGGTTTTATAAAAATTTTAGGATTGTTCTACATCTGTGAAAAATGCCTTTGGAATTTCGGTAAGGATTGTGTTGAATTTGTGGATTGCTTTGAGTAGTATGGACATTTTAACTATTCTTCTGATTCATGAACACGAGATATCTTTTTATTTGTGTCTTCTTCAATTGCTTTGATCAGTGTGCTTTTTTCCCTCTCATATATGCACTGTGATGGCATTTCCCCCTTTACTTTTTGGGGCAACATACATCACATATCCATAATGTAGCTGCTCAGAGATTTTAATGAAAATGGGTGCTATTGACTGAGTTTCTGGAGTAATGGAATGGATTATGTCATATTGCTGAAAACCATCTTTCCAATCGAGTAGAATCAAATTTTAGAGTTAGAAGGGATAGAGAAGTTATTTAAGTTCCTCTGGTTGTGATTGAGCAGGTATGTTTGCTCTGTTGGGGCATAGTGGAATAAGGAGTAGAGTTTCATGTCTAATGCCTTCATATTTTCTTAAGTTTCTACTGCCCCAGTTTTGGAAGTCCCTATTTCAGATGAATAAGAGTTGTTTTCATTTCAGTGTTTATATAGTCATTGATTTTTTAAAAAGGGAAATTGATTTGTAAATTCAAAATACATTGACATACATGAGTAGGAATTTGCTGTTGTCCAATAATAACCCAAATCAATAAAGTCTGATATTCTAATGGAAGGATTTATTTGAGGGTGAGATAACTTTAAATACATGAAATTTGTGGACAAAAGCTCCCTACACCCATCATCCAGCTCAGTCGTCATTAATTTGTGACTGTTCTTGAGAAACACTTTTAATCTTTGTAATTTTTAGGCTTTCTCTAACTGTAGAAGAAATCGAGGCATATTCTCAACCACTTACGTGAAGCACTTTTGTTTTTCTGCAGTGTTTCCTGAGGGTATAGGCGGGTGTTTGAGGAGTACATGCGGGTTATTAGCCAGCGGTACCCAGACATCCGCATTGAAGGAGAGAATTACCTCCCTCAACCAATATATAGGTAAGTAAATTTTAGTAACTTAAAAGGAAAAGAATTTGACTTTATAAACTTTTGTGAATTAGTTTGATTAACTTTCCTTGGTTATTATGATTTCTTAGCTGGTTATAATAACATAAAGACAACTAATGGTTTCATAAATAGCAAATACAGAAGAATTTTTCTGTAAAAAGGGAAAGAGGAGAATCATTTTCTAGATGGCAGCCCTTCAAAAGATGTGGGGTTTTTTCCTGTAATTGTTATTGTGGTGGTTGACCACAAACTCCCAAATTTTTATAGTCAGTATAAAATTCTGTACTGTTAATAGTATTATTTTAAAGGCCTGTGTTACGTACTCTAATATATACTCTTACACGTTAATTTTTAATTGATTTAAAATATATTAAATATCTTTATTTTAAAGCTGTACAATAAACTAGTTACTTTTTTTCACTAGTTATAATTAATAACTTTTAGATTTGATGTCTAGAAAATGTCTATACACATATACTCGAGTTATGAAATCTTGAAGTAAATGAGAAATTGTGGCTTCTGATGAATTTTTCTTTTCTTTTGATAGACACATAGCATCTTTCCTGTCAGTCTTCAAACTAGTGTTAATAGGCTTAATAATTGTTGGCAAGGATCCTTTTGCTTTCTTTGGCATGCAAGCTCCTAGCATCTGGCAGTGGGGCCAAGAAAATAAGGTATGTAACTTAATAGCTTTGGCAGCTCTTAAGTTTTTAGGTTGTCAATGAATACATTTTAATGAATTTTTTTAAAAGTACTTGTTGCTGATTTACCTGTTCACATACATTTTTTTAACTTAAAACTACTCTTTATCTCTGGGCAAGGCACTTCCTTTGGGCTTAGTTTTCATATTTCTTTAAGAAAGATTAGGTTTTACATTTTTATTATTTGAAGAGTAGGGATGGGATGTATTATTTTATTAGAACCTGGGCACAAAGTAATTTAATATCTGATTTTGATTATATATTATAATTAGGCCTGATCATATCTTCCAAAACATAATATATACATAATGTAGGCTTTTATACCAACTGATACGGATATTTAATGGGTTTATTCACATAAAAAACAGGATTTGAATTGTTCTTATCAAAACATACACACACACTCACTCTGTTTTTATTATTTGTCCTTTGACCCTATTCATGGTAAATCTGTTCAGCAAATTACTTGAAACAATCAGTACATACATAAGACTTTTGTGTTATTTCTTTCCTTTTTTTTTGGGGGGGGGGGTAGGGTCCTGCAGCTCTTTTTCATCTGTTTTACTTAAAATTGTCTTTTTTAGAGGGTGTACCTTTCTGTTGTAAGAAACAGGACTAATTTTTATTTCTCTCTTGATGAGATTACACAAGTTTTCCTTCTAAGAAGCATTAATTTTTGGAGTCCTATGTGGCCTTGTCCTCTACTTTTGGGCTGAGACTACCTTTATCTGACTCCTACATAGCTGTACTTCTTTGTCTTAGGGAATCACTTATTTCTAGTAACAGGCAAGTCATCTTAAGATAAACATCCTCAGGTGGTACTACCTCTAATTAAAGTGTGTCTCTACCCCGTTAACAAAACTGATTTGCATAGTATTAAGAATTGGAAGTTAAGTACTTATTGACAACTTTTTAAAATATTTATTGATTTCCAAATATCTTTAATGCATTTTACTTCTGTAGATATATAAAATTGTTGATCTACTGTGGAAGATGAATGTACTTGAAAGTGTAGCTTACATACTTCCTTGTATACTGTTCCCATGAAAGTAGACTTATGTTCCGAAATGCTAGGGTAACCTCTATGAAATCAAAGCCCACCTAGCTTAAGGGGAAGGTGGGCAGGGAAAGCCCTTTCTCATCAGCTGTGGGCATTTTGATTTATTTTCCTTAAACATCTTTCTGTGAGTTGACGTCCTCACTACATTCTACTTTTTACATACCTCTTTTTACAAAGTTACTTACTTTTTCATACCTACTTTTACAGAGTTACCTACTTTTTACAAAGTCAGGTGATTTTGTTAAAACCTCTCCATCCATCAAGGAGCTTTAGTCTCTTTTGAGAGGGTATAGATTTGCATTCAAAGGTGAAAGAATGTAATTTAGTATGCCAGTGCTTTCTAACCTACTTTTTTCCTTAGTTTTGTCTTTTGGGTCCCTGCACCCAATTTAAATGTGTGTGCCTGTGTGTGTAGGAGGGTTCCCACCACACCAACAATTACTGGACATCAGCCAGGTGTCTGAGAATCAACTCAGTTCTTAGGCCTATTTACCTGGGGATAGCATCAGATTCCACAGGGTGAGAATTCAGTCTTACAAGACACACTCCCACCACCACACACACACACACACTTTTCAGATGCCAGTTGGAAGCCTAAGCTGTTATTTGTGCTTCTGATCAACTGGCTACGTGCTGGAGGTTCCCACAGCCTCCGCCATGGATGTGTTTAATTTGCTAGAGTGACTCACAGAAGAACTAGAGAGAAATAGTGTATCCACTAGATTACTAGTTTATTGTAAAAGGATATAACTCAGAAACAGCCAGATGGAAGAGATGCACAAGGCAAGGTTTGTGGGAAGGGAGCCTCCATGCCCCTCTCCAAGTGTACCATTCTCCTTGCATCTTTACTTAAAGGTTCACCGACGTGGAAGCTTTTCGGTCCCAGTCCTTTTGGGATTTTTGTGGAGACTTCAATGCATGATTGCTTAAATCATTGGCAACTAATTTTTGACCTCTGGCTCCTCTTCCCTTGCCTGAAACTGAAAAGTCCACCATTCTAATCACATGGTTGGTTTCCTGGCAACCAGCCCAATCGTTGGGTATGGTTCAAAAATCATGTCATTAACAGAACAGAAGACACCTTATCCATTACCATCACTTAGGAAATTCCAAGGATTTTAAGTCCTCTGTGCCAGAGAATAGGAGGAAGACCAAATACATATTTCACAGTTTGACTTAAAATGACTTGTTTGGAACATGGACAGGTTGTATTGAATGCATGGAGTTGCTGATTGTTGCATCAGTAGTCTCTTGTGAATTCATTTATCATATTATATAAATAGTAAAATGGACCCTTCTTCTTCTGGCATTTTTTCATTAAACTTAGTAACGCTATTAAGAGATCTCTAGAAATTCTATCTCTACATCATGAATATCATAGGTAAATTCTTCAGCGTGTGGAGAGAGCTGTGATTTAATGTTGCATTTTTCTTTTTCTGTGTATGTTATTGAACATACAGAACAGCAGTAATATTTTGCATAGAAACTTTTAAAGTAGAATTAAAAAGAGCAATTACCAAATATAATGAGATTATTTAAAGGTTACTGTGTCTTAAGTTGTCATGTTGTTTTGATTTCAAAATGACTTTGCCTATATACTTAATTATATTTTCTTTTAGGTCTATGCATGTATGATGGTTTTCTTCTTGAGCAACATGATTGAGAACCAGTGTATGTCAACGGGTGCATTTGAGATAACTTTGAACGGTGGGTTCTGAATAGTTTGCATTCTGTGACAAACTTTGGAGTGATTTATAATGAGTATCCGGCTTTTTTGTTTTTCATAATATGCTAAATTATCTCTTTATGTGGTCTTCATCTACTTTCATGGCTTTTAAAGTAACATCTGTATGATGATCCCTGAATGTATACTTCTAGAGTGCTCTAGATCTGTCTTCTAGGGGCTATACCCAGGAATCTCCTACTACCTAACTCCTACTCCCAAAGTGTTGATTTATCTCTGTTTCCTGTAATTCTCGTATATTCCAACTTGCACCTTACCTGGCATTTCTCATTTATTTCATGGCACCATTATCATTCTACCCAGTTGCCCATGTTAGAAACCTCGGGTGACATCACTTTCTCCCTTACTCTTTAACCCTAATGGACTACCAAGTCTTCTCAATCCCACCTTTTTACATTCTTCAAAAATCTACTCTTTATTCTTGATGGCATCACCCTAGACTAAGCTCCAGTTATCTTGTTACCCTTTAATACATTCTTTAAACCAGAGGTTGGCAGATACGGTTTAAGAGATAATAGTTTTTACTTTTTCTTTTTTATTGTTCAAATACATTTGTCTCCATTATCCCGCCACCACTTTCCCCTCCCCCCCCATCCTTTCCCACTCTGGCTTTGTTTGTGGGTCCTTTATACATATTCCTTGACTTGACCCTTCTTACATTTTTTAATTGTTAAAAAAATACCCATCTTTTGTGATACATAGAAATTATATGAAATTCAAATTTTGGTGTTTATACTTAAAGATTTGAATTTGATCAATGAAAAAATTTTGGAAATTTAAATTTATATCTCTGGTTGTATAAGTATCTGTATGACATTTTGTCTGTTGGTCCATAAAGCCTTAAATATTTACTCTCTGGCTTCTTACACAATTTGCTGACACATGCTCCAAAAAGAGTAATTTTTTTTTAAATGCACATTTTTGTCCTGGCTAGTATGGCTGTGTTGGTTAGAGCATCATCCCATAATCCGAAGGGTCACAGGTTTGATTCCTGGTCAGAGCACATGCCTAAGTTTGGTCCCCATTCAAGGTGCTTACAGTAGGCAGCAGATCGAAGGCTTTTTCTTAAAGATGTTTTTTTAATTTTTAGTTTTAGGTAGAGAGGAAGGGAGGGAGAAAGAGATGGAGAGAAATATCAATGTGTGGTTGCCTCTCAAGTGCCCCCTACTTGGAGACCTGTCCTGCAATCCAGGCATGTGCCCTGATTGGGAATCGAACCTGCAACCCTTTGGTTTGGCAGGCTGGTGCTCAGTCCACTGATCCACAGTAGCCAGGGCCAATGTTTTTTCTCTCATCAATATTTTTCTCCCTCTCTCTCTCCCTCTTTTCTCCTGTCTCTTAAAATCAATAAGCATGTCTTTGGGTAAGGATAAGAGAAAAAAAATAAATATGTAAAATCCACATTTCACCTTCTTGCTTCACTGCCTTAAATTTATTAAATGTCTTTGCTTTGTTCTCAAGATGAAGACCAGAACATTTAACGTGGCCAAAAGGTCCTACATGACGTAGCCTAGGGATTAGCAAACCATGGCCTTGTGGACTATGTCCCATGCTTCCTGTTTTGTAAATGAGGTTTTATTGGAGCACAGCCCTGCCCCTTCATTTTTGTATTGCCTGTTGCTACTTTCAGGCTATCAGGAGAGTTGAGTAGCTGTGACAGATTGTATATCTATTTAAAATGAAAATGCTTACTATCTGCCCTTTGACAGTTTGCTGACCCCTGATGTAGTCCCTACCTTCTTCTCCAGCCTCCTTCATACTACTCTTCTATATTTAAGCTATCTCCCTCTTTTAATTATATAATCTCTCATTTTTATATTTAAATTTAATATATTTTATTTATTTATTTTTTAGATGGAGGGATAGGATGGGGGGAGAGAGAAACGTCAATTTGTTGTACCCCTTATGTATGCATTCATTAGTTGATGCTTATATATGCCCTGGCCAGGGATTGAACCTACAACGTTGGCATATTGGGGCGATGCTCTAACCAACTGAGCTACTTGGCCAGAGATAATCTCTCACTTTTAATAATAGTAAGTGCAATGACATCTTTCCAGCCTATCATGTCTCCCTCTCATAGTATCGTCTAGTTTTAATTCTTAGTACACAGCTCTGATTTTATAGCTATTTGTATAGTTCTTTTTGTATTCCTTTACTTTGTAAATTCATAAGAATGTAAACTTCATAAGAGCAAAAAGGTTAATTCTTTTGCTCACTTTCGTATCCCCAGCTGTGTACACACGTGATAAATATTTGTGGAAAGAATGTTCATTATAGAATCGTCTTTAATTGGGGGTGCTGGCACGATTTATTTTTATAGATGTACCTGTATGGTCTAAGCTGGAATCTGGTCACCTTCCATCCATGCAACAGCTTGTTCAAATTCTTGACAATGAAATGAAGCTCAATGTGCATATGGATTCAATCCCACATCATCGATCATAGCCCCACCTATCAGCACTGAAAACTCTTTTGTAAGTAGTTTAAAAATATAAGAACTATGTATAGATATGTTAATTCTCATCACAAATCAGCAAGATACTAGGTATTAGATATATTACCACTTGAGCTTTCAACTTGGGATTTAACAGATGGATGTTTTCTTCATTAAATTTTGGAAGAGATCAAGAGAGATTGGGTCTGCCAAAATAAAGTTGTACTGTTATCTTCAAGGCATAATAATTGGGCTTGTAATATCATTTTTAAACTACAAACTTCTAATGGCCAGAACTGATATATTATAATACCTAGGATGTTTTTATATATATATATTCTCTTTTTACTTTCAAATAAGTAGTGCCTAAGAGTATGCAAATTCTTTTAACATGCTCAAGATAGAGAATTTATAAGCCAGTATGTGTGAACATGGCGAGATAAATGCTAACTTTTGCTTATTAGCACAGATGTTTTCAGGTCCTCTGATCAAGAGTTGATTTTACAGGAGTGAAGTTTGAAATAAACTATTCTTTTTTCTGTGTGTTTTTCAGACATTAAGGAATTTTTACAAGAGCAGCGTGACTGACATTATGAAGGCCTGTACTGAAGACAGCAAACTGTTAGTACAGACCAGATACTTTCTTGGCAGGCTCGTTGTACCTCTTGGAAAATCTCAATGCAAGACAGTTTTTCAGTGCTGGCACATTTTGGAATTCTGCACATTCGTGGAGTGCAATAATACTGTATAGTTATTTTTTCTCCCCCAAATCCACTCAGTTAATAGTTTTTTAAAAATGTAAACATTGCTTCTTGTACCTTTTTTTCCTTAGTCATATTTGAAAATGTAGCAAAATGAGTAATAATTTGGTTTTTTTTCCCCCAAAGATGTCTGTTAAATCCGTTGTGATTTTTATATGAATTTTCCTTTTTTATAGTTTAGAATTGATCTTTTTGGGAATATAGTTGGGTGTTCTCAAATACTTTATAAGAGTTTATCAGATCTTTAATTTGGTCATATCCAATTTATATAGGTTTCAAAATACTGCAGATTGTGAACAGTGCATTATACAAGATTATGGGGGGACAGAAATCCTATATGCAGAGTACTCTACCAATTTGTGTGTATGTACGTGTGGGTGTGTGTGATTACCAGAGAACTACTAAAAGACCAACTACTTTTTAAATCCTGTAATAGTTCAAGTGTCTTGCCTTGACCAGTCTAATGAGTTAGTTAACTGGGCCTTTATACTTAACTCAATAAAAAACTAAGTGGATATAAACTAAATAAAAACCTTGAATTTATTGCCCAGCGTACCTGTTAACATTATATTTAACAGTCATCTGCTTAAGTTTTTGTTTTGACATACAGATAATCTCGTAAGAACACATTTTTGATTCACACACAATAATAGATAATTTACCATTGAAGTTACCTCACTAAAGAAAATTTAGTTGAACTTCTTTACAACAGTAATATTAGATGAATGGAGATAACTTGTCTAATTTAACTCAACTAATGTATCAGAATTTTATTGTATTTGAGTAACAGAATTGAAAAAATGTATTCAGTGAATTTAATCTTTTCAAACTTCTAAAAAGACTGTAAGATTAATTTAGCAGAACTAGGACCATAATGTAGAAAAACAGTCATAACATACTTTGGCCTCTGTTTAGGAATAGAAGTGGTAGGTCCAAATTTGTTACTGGAAGTTAAGGGATTTATGGAAAAGTTATAAGATAGTTCTACATTGGGTCCACCAAACACTTAGCACAACCATATACTTTGTCATTGAATATCTGTTAAATGCATGGAACATACTGTAATCTCTGGCTGACAAGTTAGTCTGCAGAAAATTGATTAAAATGGCTTATCTTTTTAATTAAGACTGAAGAACTCTTAACCTAAGTTCATATAGTGGCAAGAGTCAATACAATTTAAGCTGGGAAGTTACTTACAGGTTGTTGTTATTATTCAGGTGTAACAACATTTTGTTATCTTTGACTAGGGCTAAAATCGTGTTAACTTGATTTTTACCAGCTCAAACTTGTAACTTCTGTTAAGTTGAACACACTGCTGAGTGTGACTACGGTCTTTCTTTAGTTGAGGACATTCCACTAGTGACAGTTAACCTTCTAGCATTTAGACCTTTCAGCCTCGAACCTTGGCTGTTCCCGTGTATCTGTCAGGTCAACCATGAAGAACCTAAAATTTGATTCTAACTTTTTCCATGTTTGCCTTGAGTGAATAAATTGTCTTTTAGAGAATAGCTTTAGGTAGCTTAGCCTCTGATAAAGCTCAGCTATTTTCTTGATACCTATATCAATATTGTTGTTTTATCTTTGGCCATATTTAAATCTAGGATTTAATGGAGTTCAGTGAAAAATTAGTGGGGAGCATGAATATAAAAAGGAAAATTTAAGGGAAAAGAGAAAGTTTAAATGAAGCTACTTAGAATATAGTTTTATTCCTAACATTTCAGATTTTATCAGTTGCTTACAAATTTGTGTGTCTCTATAGTTTATAAATGTCTATGTACTATATTAATTAGAAAACCACAGAATATGACAGTAGGGTGGCTAATATCATTGAGGCTTTTATCACAGTTGCTATTGTGGAAGAAATTGTTAGGTTAAAAAGAAGTTGGCAAAACATGGCTTCATACCTCAGTATCAAGATGTGCAGGACAAATATGCTTTCAGAATGTGAATGCATTATTTACTTATGGTACTGAGGTTAAAGACAGCAGTTGATCACCTTTTACCACTATTGAAATATAACTGGATCCCAATGATAACTCTTACTTTGAATGTTTTTAGTTTGAGATTTTGTTGGCATTTTATCATTGTCATAATTTTAAATAATTCGGATTTTAAAAATAGCCTACAGAATTTTTAAGCATGATTTGATATTTAATAATAAAGCTTTTTAAAAATATTTGAGAGAAATATGAGGAATTGTAAAGTTCGGGGCTTACTTCTCTAGCATTGTGAAAATAAACTTTTATTAAGCTCATGTGAAAGGAACACCTCTGTTGTGGAATTAAATCTGTGCTAGAGCACTTTATATGTTAACTGTATATGGAAAACATTATATTGTAACAAGTTGTGTCCTCAGTGTTTGCTTTGTAGTGGCTTCTTAAACCAACCAGTGTTAACCCAACGTCTGGTTCTCAAGTCTTACCACTCTTGGACCTTAAACTATTTCTCTAATCTACAGTCCACTTGTGTTTCAATGTTGGCTGAGCTGTCATCAGCTCTGTGATGGCTTCTGTGTTGGGGGTGGAACAGAAAGAAGAGTTTACATCACTGTTCATCTTTTTCTCCCAGCCTCCACAATTCCTGAGAAAGTCACATTGTCATCTCTAAATCTGGAGAGAAATAAAATGAGAGTGTTTTCCCCTTGATTGGTATAGACAGTTTAACAGTTTCAGAAGAGAGAGCAAAGTAGGTATTTTTTAAAAAGTCAGCCAAGCCTTTTTCTTCACAGCCCGTGGCGCCTTTCCTCTATCTAGACTACAGAGAGGCAAATAGAAATAGACCTAGCTCTGAACAGGCTCCTGAAGAAAAATATAAACTGGTCTCATCTACTGTGGGATGAGTGTAAGTCACCCACTCTTCAATCAAAACTTACAGAATGTCTTCTGTTGCCTAAGCTAAACATGAACAAAATAAAAAGAAACAATGTGGTAACTCTAAATATATTACAGCAAGCAGTGGTTTTAAAACTTTAGTGTGCCTAAGAATCATTGGTACAAATCCCTGGATCCCACCCTTAGAGATGCTGATTCAGTTAGTCTGACATGGGACCTGGTCATGTGCCTTTCAATCAAGCTTCTTCAAATGCTGATGCTCTTAGTCTGTGGTTCACACTGAAGAGCACTGTACCACACACAGAACAAGATCAAGACTAAGGATTCAACCTGGAAGAAAGTATAGCTCATGGAACAGAAGAAAATTTTGCATACTTGCTTTATAGAATGATAGAATGACTCAGTAAGAACAAGAATTCAGTAAAACAGGAACTCAAGAGAAACAATGAAATGAGAGGCAATATATATGTATTTTTTAATTTTTTTTTTTAATTTTTCAGTTACTCTTGTCATTCAATATTAGTTTCAGGTAAGATTTTGTGTCTAAGGAAACAAGTTGAGGACTTAATAATGTAACAGTTTTTAAACCTTTGTTGGTTTAGTATTTTAAATCTTTTGGGATGTTTAAGAGGAAATGTTAAATCTTTGAGTATAAAATAACTGGTTTGGATTGCTAGATTTTCTCAGAGTAAAGCAGGCAACATGCTTGCATTGTGCTTATATTTTATAGTGACAACTGATCTTTAGTCACATAAAACAAATCTTTGATTTTTATAGTTTTACGTAGAGAAATTACATACTTGTAGCAATCATAATAGAGCTCTTTAAATTACTAGGGAAACCCAATCTGAGCTTAATTAAGCCCTGCCCCCCCCCCCACCTCCAGTAAAGGACTTAACTGATTCATGTCATTAAAAAAAAATACAATGTGGAGTTGGCCTCAGGGATTCAAATATGATGATCAAAACTCTTCGTCTAAGTTGGCCCCATTTCTCCATGAGCCTCCACCATAATTGGGGAGAGGGTTGTGTGGGGCTAGGGAGGGTGGGGGAGAAGTAAGAAATAAAATCCCATTAATGTACTCTGGTGCAACTTGGGTCACATTCCTATCTTTGGACTCTTATTTCTCATTCGAAATCCATTCAAATAATTTTGTCATCTACTAACTCCTCTATTTACTCCCTCCACTCAATCTCCTTAGTCATAATTGGTTAAGACAAGTTTAGCTTTGTGGTTATAAGTTGCTCAGATCAAGTTCTTTGCTATTTGGGAATTACCTGGAATGGATGGAGCTAGCATTGGGTTACTTGGCTTAGTTAATAATAAAAGTATTAGAACCTGGTTGGCAGATTGCCACCAACATTCCCTTGGGCGACTGGCTATACTCATTTAGTTTGTGTACTAGCAACTCTTATTAGAGAAAAGCAGCAATTATTGCTCCTTTGTTTATTGTTACTCTTGAGTTGCTAAGAGCAGGTCTGTTTGCAGGAAGATGTATTGATGACATTTTTCCCCTAAACTTTAAAATATATATGTATTACAAAATGCTGTTAGCTTTCACCTTTTAATAGCCTGTAGCATCTAGAGATGAGACACAAGTTGTTTTTAACACACCTGCACACAGCTGTAGCATATTTCTCTTGTCAGGAAGGATGTTGGTGTTGAGGGGAATGTAACTACCATGCTTTCAAGTGCTTTTATGAAACCTCAGATGTTTGGCCTTTGGCCAAGAGTCCATGATTTCATATTGTTAGAGGGATCATTGTATCCCTGGGGGCTGCAGCTTTCTATAGATTCCATGGCTGAACCAAGAAAAGCATACATAGATTTCTACAGAAATTATGATTCTGTTACTGGACTGGTTCCAAGCCAGGGGCTAGACCTGCCCTAGCAGAGTTTGAGACCTTTTGTGTGTCAGGCAATGTCCAGGCTCTTGTGCAGGAAAGATTTCAAAAAAGAGAGTGAGAACAAAAGTAAGTTTTATTCAGGTGGAGACAGAGGCCAGGATGCAGGCCAACTTAGAGTGAATTGTGCGTGTGGTCAGTTTGGGGGATTCCCAGTTTTTGAGTTTTTTCTGGTGCCAGATTTTGGCCCCACCTCTGGTTGGAAGGGCACATTTTTCCTAATATGGTCTCCAAAAGTGTCATGGCATTCACAGCTCTCAGCGCCCCTTCTACTTGCGGTGGTGGCAGGAAAGTCAAGGCTAGGAAAATTCCTTGGCAAATGGAATGAGGGAACCTGAGGCAAAATAGTTAAACAAGGTTGAGCAATTAACAGCCTGCTAGTAAATCACAAGATCTTATCTTCCCTAACAAAGGAAGCTTTGGAGCAGATGGTTTATACCTCTTCTCCCCAGCCAGAGAATGAGTAGCTTAAATCACCCTGGTCAGGGAGATAGAAAACAGAGACCCAGTTGATGCCATTAGTGCCAGCCATACTCCAGAACGGATGAAGTCGGGAATAAACAAACAAGCCCAAGTAGAGCCAGACAAATCCAAGATAAAAGTGAAGCAGTGAAGCTGACCAGAGAATGATCCCAAACTCTCCCATCTATATTCTTATTTTGATGCACTAGCATATTAAAGGACACACCTGCAAAGCTGTTGACTATTCTGTTGAGACCCTCCCCTGAAACCTCCCCTAAAACTCCTGCCTTTTAAAACAGATAAAAACTCTCAAGGCGAAGGACCCAGTGTGCACT